TGTGTCACAATTTAAATTTCTTAAGATGTTATCTGTTATCTCTCTCTCTCTCTCTCTCTCTCTCTCTCTCTCTGTGTGTGTGTGTGTGTGTGTGTTTGAATCCAACATCTCAGCGTTCAGATGTGAGGTTTATTAAAACTCACCGTCTCCAAACAGACGCAGGACTTGGGCCACGTACGGGCAGTCGTCGTTATCGCCCTCAATCAGGATGTGCTGACCCGTTCTGATGACGGTGGGCTTCAGGAGACCCTCCACCCTGATGGCCAAGGAGCTGAAACACCCCGACACAAACCAAACCAACAGAAATCACTGATTTCAGAGGATTAAGGTGGAAAATCCACAGAAACTGATAAATATTTGATTATTTCCAATCACTGCTTTAAAACACAAAAATATTCTGAGTTTTTAGTTTATTTTATTTCACTGATTTAACATCATTTTTACTTTTAGACTCAAACCAAACTGTAAAAGATGTGATTATTTGGGACTTCTTTATATTAAATTATTTAATAACTGCAGATTTTAAATAGTTTTGATCAAATTTAGTCACTTAGGATTAAAAATCTGCCAATTATTTAACATCAAACCTGATAAGATCACAATTTRTTTATAGAGAAAAACATTTATATAATTTAAATCTGAGTTTTTATTGTTTTTAATAAAACCAGTGTTAGAGGAGATGAATGGGTTTGTTTTGTGGATCTTAAATCTGTTATTTTAGACTCAAACACCTGCAGATATTTACATTTATTCTGTTTTTATTGGCTGTTTTAGTTGTCTGAAGTTTAACTGAACTAAACTTACTCAGTTTTATGTAAAGAAAAAAGTTTAGAAAAGCAAAGTGCTAAAAGTGAACAAAGATAATTAACATTYTTCTTTACAGACATGTTTGCTGTAATAATTTAACTTTTAAAACATGTTTTTGTTTATTTATCAGCTAAAACTTAGTGTTAAGTTATGAATAATAACAACACGTGAAGTAAAACAGCAGTTTAAGGTTATAAAACATAAATAAATGTTTATTTCTCACCCRTACTCGTGTGTTTGGAGCTTCCTGTTGAAGCTCAGAGGAACTCCTCTCCACTCGTAGGACCGTCGGACTCTCTGTCTGGTGAAATATTTCATCCTGTTCCTCTGATGTCAGCCGCGCATCCGACCGGAAATTATTCGATTATTCTCCTGATCGAAGTTTAAAATAATGATCCGCAGAGTTTTTAGTTTGATTTAAAACCAGCTCCGGCAGAAAAATTCACTGGAAGGAGTTTGAAGACAACAGCGGGACTGAGACTCCCGCGAAAAAAATCACACTTCCGGTTCTTTCGTCATTGATGCAGCTGCTGCACCCTGCAGGTCAGGAGACGAACTGCAACCAAAAAAAACATTTTTTTAAAAATTGGGCCATAATGCTTGTTAAATATTTTCTATAATAAAATCTTTTATTATTCATTTATG